TCCAGCGTAGATGACACAGCTTATACCTCACCAGCAGTGCATAAGAACACTAATGCTAGGGCCAGCCCGGTGGTGCACTGGAGAGTGCGCCGCTTGAGAGCGCGGCGGCGCTCCTGCCACGGGTTCAGATCCGATGTGGAGACCGGTTCCCGCTCACTGGCTGAGCGCGGTGCAGGCGCAACACCGAGGGTTGCGATCCCGTTGCCGGTCCCCGGTACGGGCGCGACACCGAGGGTTGCGATCCCGTTACCAGTCAGTAAAAAAGACAAAAAGGAAAAAAAAAAAAAGAACACTATTGCTATACATCCTCGCCAATTCATAGCATTTTCCAACTTGAATATATTTGTTGATCCAGTGGGTGTGAAATGTGATTTTAATTTTCTTGTCACTGATGTCTAGTGATCAAGTATCCATCTATTCATGGTTTTATTTACCATTCGCTCCTCTACGTACTGTGGGCTAATATCCTTTGTCTATTTCCCTATTGGCAGTTTACCTTTTGCATGTTGATTTCGTGGAGCTCATTCTACAAAGTGGACACCAACCCTTTAGCCATCAGGCTTGTTGTCACCATGCAAACACGCCCACCAACGCATCCCTCTCCTGGCTGCTCACAGGCCCCTAACCTTGCTCAGCTTGGCATTCTGGTCTTCCAAGAGTAGCAGGTCCTCCTCAAATTTCTTCAGCTTTGCCTCTGTTGTCACCTTCTCCAGCTGCAGCTTCTGCCTTGCCCCCTCCTCAGCCTCGAGGTGGGTCTCTAGTTCCTGGAGTGAGGAGGAGGGAGGGGTAAGAACCTAGGGCCTGAGGGATGGAGTGTGATGGGGAAGGAGGGAGTAGAGGGATGGTTCAAGGAACCTTGGGGGCTTGTGGCTCAGACAGGTCAATACCCTGGGTGAGGCTGGGAAGGATCAAACTCTTACTGGTTTTCCCATTTCATTCATTAGCTCAACAAGCATTTATTGAGTGCCTAGTGTATGCCAGGCACTGTTCTAGGCTCTGAGGATAAATAAAAATCCCTGTCCTTATGGAAATTACATCCTTGTATGTTAGTTGGGAAGGGATGCAGATTATAAACAGTAAACATAACAAATAAACAAATCACATAGATGGCTACTGCCCATGATGGCAGTCACTGGGCACATTGGAAATTAAGATTCAATATTACATGCTGCCTGAGTACAGCCTTCCTACTCAGTCTGCTCTCACAAATAAGGTCCTCTAGCCATTTAGTCCTCCTTATCAAGGGAACCAGGCACCTGCTTATCCCTGAGAAGCACATTTCAGTTCCCTGCCAGCCCACAGAATTAAACAAACCACTCACGTTTCCATGGCAACCAGGGGTCACCTTACCTTCTTGTTACTACAAAACTGGTTTCCCCGAGTCTTGCTTGTTCACTCTATTCTTGAATGCAATCCCCATGTGGCCTTTCATGGCATGGTAAGTGCCTCCCTTGGGCTATGAGTATTTGTGACTAATCAACTGCTGTCAATCTCATCTGTCCAGTGTCAGGTGTCATGTGTTCCCCACCATCCCCATAATGCTAGGGCAGGATCCCTCCCTCACCAATGGGGTGTAGAGGAGGTGATTAAAACACTTTTGAGCTCTTGAAATAGGGGTGACCAAGAAACTAAATTTTCTACTTTAATTTTATTATAATCTAAAACTAGACACTCAGTCACTGGAAAACTTTTAAGTATGATTGGAACAACTTGGGTATGTGAATCTGTAGAGTATCTATTGGGTATGTGAACTGCAGAAGTTATGAACTAAAAATAAAGATCAAGTATTTCCAACAAAAATTTAGCATCTGAACTGAGATGTGCCGTAAGTATAAAATGCACACTAGGTCTTGAACGGGAACATGAGAAAGCAGCCTGCTGGGGCCGGCCCGTGGCTCACTTGGGAGAGTGTGGTGCTGATAAAACTAAGGCCACGGGTTTGGATCCCATATAGGGATGGCCGGTTGCTCGCTGGCTGAGCGTGGTGCTGACAACACCAAGCCAAGGGTTGAGATCCCCTTACCG